CGGTCAGCGCTGGCAGCGCGCCGCTGCACGACACGTTCTGGCAGGCCTGCAGCTCTCTGCAAGCCTGAGAAGCCAAAGCACTGTTCTCAGTGAAAAGGAATGGGATAACTATGACTTTCCCAGTTACCGTTTATTTGATGCAATTTCAGGGTAAACATAAGCTAGGGCAGTGTCCTGGCAAAGCTGACAAAAATGTAAGCGAGTCAACACCACCTGACAGGCTGTGGTTCAGCTGCAAGAGATGCATTGTTTCTTGAAAGTTATCAGTGTAGTAACAGAAGTATTTTTTACTGCTATGCATTATTAAAAAGGGGGGAAAAAGAAAGAAGCTAAGGTTACTTTCTGGAACAGCTCATGGGAAACTCTAGACAGAGGTCAATGGTGATTTGTTTCTCCTAAAAAGGATATTGGTGTTCACACTGCACCTCAAGAGGATATTCAGAAAAGCAAGAGGAAATAAACCATGAAAAACTGTAGGGAAGGAAAGAAAAAATATATTTTAAACATATCAAAGAATAACTGTAATCTCAGCATTGTAAAATTCCTTTAAAAGGAAGGCTAGTCTAATGCTTTAGGGTTCAGAAGAATCAGAGCAGTAACTTTGCCTACTTGTAGATCAGCTCCACAAACACACAATTAATAAAAGACTTGCACAACTCTACCTCCTGGGAGCACTGCAAAGATAAATACATTAATGATTGCAAGGCTCTCAAAATCTCCACTGAGGGGGCCACTTCAGAAACAAGACAGCTAGACAGAATTAGCGAGCATCATGAGTGTGTCATTAACGATACCTTTGCCAAATAGCCTATTGATTTCTCTAAAATGTTTAGCCTGTAGCAAAGCATAACAACACAAGTACAAGCCACAAAGGATTTCATTATCATTTTTAACTTCGGGACAAAAAAGGAAAAAATGCTCTGGAGCCTCATCACCATGACAAATCATTTATCTGTTCAAAGTAACTTCCTCAGCTGTCTCAGAAAACAGTGGTGCAACTAATCTGGCCCAATTCCTTTTTAAACAAACCTGGAGACTTGTCTTTCTCTAAATCACCAATTCATTACAGCCAATTTTTTCTGGCTTTGGCAGTGAGCAAGCGACACAAGTAACAGAAGGTGCAGGAGCAGTAAAAAGTTAAATAGGGGATGATAAGTGCTAAGTTGGGGGTCAGTAAAGTCTATAGCTGCACAAACTCAGCTGGCTGATTTCCTGTGCCACCTACCCTGCTTCGTCCCAGCATACCCATCCCCGTCCTGCCCAGCACCGTGCTGCCCTTTATAAAATCAGAACTGGCCCTCTGGGGAACAAAGACTGAATTACAACATTTCTTTCAACCCCATTCTTCAAACTGGAGCTCCACAGGGCTCAGTTCAGC